AGACCAATGGAACAGACTAGAAAGCCCAGATACAAACCCAAGTATATATGGTCAATTAATACACAATAAAGGAGTTATGGACATACAATGGGGGAAATGACAGCCTCTTCAACAACTGGTGTTGGCAAAACTGGACAGCTACATGCAAGAGAATGAAACTGGATTGTTGTCTAACTCCACACATAAAGTCAACTCAAAATGGATCAAAGACCTAAGTGTAAGACATGAAACCTTTATAAAACTCTTAGAAGAAAACCTAGAAAAAATCTCTTGAACATAAGCATGAGCGAATTTTTTCTGGACACACATCTCCAGGCAAAGGAAACAAAATAAAAAATGAACAAGTGGGACTACATCAAACTAAAAAGCTCTGTACAGCAAAGGATACCATCAACAGAAGAAAAACGCAACCGACAGTATGGAAGAATCTATCCAACAAGGGGTTAACAACCAAAATATATAAAGAACTCACATGACTCAACATTAAAAAAACCAATAACCTGATTAAAAAATGAACAGAGAACCTGAACAGACATTTTTCCAAAGAAGAAGTATAGATGGCCAACAGAAATACGAAAAGATGCTCCACATCGCTAATCATCAGGGAGACGTAAATCAAAACTACAAAATCAAAACTGGTCTAACACCTCCGACCAGTTAGTATGGTCACTATCCAACAGACAAGAAATAAAAAGTGTTGGCGAGGATGTGGAGAAAAGAGAACCCTCCTACACTGTTGGTGGGAATGTAAATTGGTGCAGCCACTGTGAAAGCAGTATTGAGATTTCTCAAAAAGTGAAAAATAGAATTACCATTTGATCCAGTAATTCCAATTCTCGGAATTTACCTGAATAAAACAAAGCCCAGGTTTGAAAAAAATATATGCACCCCTATGTTTATTGCTACATTATTTACAATAGCCAAGTTATGGAAGCAACCTAAGTGTCCGACAGTAGATGAATGGATAAAGAGATGTACTTATATACAATGGAATATTATTCAGCCATAAAAAAGAAAGAAACCCTGCTATTTGCAACAACCTGGATGGAGCTAGAGGGTATTATGCTCAGTGAAATAAGCCAGGCAGAGAAAGACAGTAACATATGATTTCACTTATTTGTGGAATCGAAAAACAAAACAAAATAAACAAAATAGCAGTAGACACATAGAGGAGAGGTTGGGGGAGAGGTTAGGGTGAGGGTGAGGGGTATAAAGATCATGGGGGAGAGGTTGGGGTGAGGGTGAGGGGTATAAAGAAGCACAAAAATCTCAATCATAATATAAGGTGGTCATGGGGATGGAAGTGCAGCATGGAGAATATAGCCAATGGTTCTGTAACATCTTTTTGTGTTAACAGATAGTAACTATAGTAGTTGGGGCAATGATTTAATAAATGGGTAACTGTTGAACCACTGTGTTGTATACTTGAAACCAAAATAAGATTGTATATCAACTACACTTTAGTAAAAAACAATGAGATTTAGGAGGAAGAAATGACATTTAGGAGGATAGAAATTCATGACTTATAGGCATTAAAAAGGATTGACCTTCCTTTGTGGTAGTTCAATATTCAATTGAGAAAAAAAGTTGTCCTTGCTTAAATTCATACCAAGTTCTATTGTTTGAATAAATCTAAATTCTTTTTCTTTTATTATGACCCAGATAGATTGTATCATCACGTGCAAACACTATAGCTCTCAAGTGTGCCATATCTTAAGTGATATTTAGCTACCTGGAAACTACTGATTCTCATATTTGTGGCTTTAAATATTTGTGTTGCACAAAAGTTGCAATAAGACTAAGTGGGCCCCATTTTTTACTGTTTCCTGGAACTTGGTTTTTGTATTACTGGAAGATGCCTATAATCCTTAATTTAAGTACTCTCAGTGGAGGGAGACTAATAGCCCTCTTTGGGTAGAAACCGTCAGAACCTGAAAGACATTAAACAGGCATTAACACATTCAGGCTGCATGAATGAACTGTGAGGACATTATGCAAAGTGAAATAAGCCAGATACCAAGGGGCAAATATTTCATGATTCCACTTTTATGAGGTACCTAGAGTAGTTAAAATTTACAGAGACAAAGTTGAATGATGGTTGCCTTGGGACTGGAGGGAGAGAAAAATGGGAAGTTAATGTTTATGAGCATAGAGCTTCTGTTGGGGAAGATGAAAATAATCTGGAGATGATGGTCTTGATGGTTGTATAAAAAAGTGAATGTGCTTAATGCCACTGAACTGCACAGTTAAAAATAGCTAACATGGTAAATTTTATGCTTGTTATGTATAGTTTACCACAAGTTTAAAAAATGGCACTAACATAAATGATTGAAGAACAATGTAAAAAAGCAAACTTTGAAGAAACAATTGGTAGCTGTCTAAAGCATTTTGTATCAGGAATAAACCACCTTTTGGCTAAAAGTCTTTATTGGTGATTTAATAAAAAGTCCTTGTGGGTGACTCAGTTCTTAAAAACTTCTAGAACACATTCTGTGCTAATGAGGAAAATATTCTTTATACTACAAGCTCTAGAATTTTGAAATAGGCTCTTGACATTTCTGACTTCAAGTCCTAAAACAGGAACCTTTATTACAAAACTAATATAATAAAATTAAAATCTGGTTAGTAACTGTTTATTTTAAAAATTAGACCTTATTTATTTTTAGACCCATACACTGAAAACCATAAGACATTAATGACAGAAACTGAAGAGGACACAAGTAAGTGGAAAACTATTCCATGTTCATGGATTAGAAGAATTAATATTGTTAAAATGTCCACACTACCTAAAACCATCTACAGATTCAATGCAATCCATATAAAAATCCCCATGGCATTTAAAAAGAAATAGAACAAACAATCCTAAACTTTGTATGGAACTACAAAAGACCCAATAGCCAAAGCAATACTGATAAAGAAGAACAAAGCTGGAGGCATCACAAATCCTTATTTAAAGCTATAGTAATCAAAACAGTATCAGCATAAAAACTAGACACATAGATCAATGGAACAGAATAAACAGCCCAGGAATAAATCCACACATATATGGTCAGTTAATTTACAACAAAGGAGCCAAGAATATACAATGAGGAAAGGACAGTTTCTTTAATAAATGGTTTTGAGAAAATTGGACAGCCATGCACAAAAGAATGAAACTGGATCACTTTCTTAAACCATACACAAAAATTAACTCAAAATGGATTACATATTTGAATGTAAGACCTGACATCATAAAACTCCTAAAAGAAAATGTAGTGGTAAACTCCTTAATATCAGCCTTGGCAATGAAGTTTTGGATCTGACCCCAAAAGCAAAGGCAATGAAACAAAAATAAACAAATGGGACATCAAACTAAAACACTTCTGCACAGCAAAGGACACCATCAACAAAATGAAAAGGCAACCTACAGAATGGGAGAGGGTAATTGCAAATGATACATCTGACAAGGGTTACATATCTAAAATACATAAAGAACTTACACAAAGAAAAAACCCCAACCCCAAACAATATGATTAAAAAATGAATAGAGGACCTGAATAGACATTTTTCCAAAGAAGACACACAGATGGCCAACAGACACATGAAAAGATGCTCAGCATCAGTTATCATTAGGGAAATGCAAATCAAAACCATGATGAGATATCACCTCACGTCTGTTAGAATGCTAATTGTGGGTAAAATTGCAATATTTCCAGAATTTCTCATCCAGCCTTAGCGCACCTCCATATCAACAAGTGTTTCCAAGGGGTGGAGAGAAGTAGTCCATCTCCATACAATAGGTGATTACATGGGGGAACAAGGGCATATCTGGACCGGAGAGGTTGGGTGGGGTCCCTTTTTGCAGCCAGGTTGTAAGAGGCACAGGTGAGCAGAAGTGGACAACTGCTTGTAAGCAATAAACAGATTTCTCCCATGAATGATTTTGGTTTCAAAGGTAATTTGACCCAGGCTGGGAAAATATTTTCCCTGGGAGTTACACTAATATAAAAAAGACAAGAAATAAAAAGTGTTGGTGGGAATGTGAAGAAAAGGGAACCCTTGTGCACTATTGGTGGGAATGTAAATTGGTGCAACCACTGTGGAAAACAGTATGGAGGTTCCTCAAAAAATTTAAAATAGAACTAGCATATGACCCAGCATTTCATTTCCACTCCTGTGTATTTATCCAAATAAAAATATTTGCTTGAAAAGATATTTGCACTCCCATGTTCATTGCTGCATTATTTCAGTAGCCAAGATGTGGAAACAACCTAAGTGTTCCCTGCCGGATGAATGGATAAATAAAAGGTAGTACATACATTCAAGGGAATATTATCCAGCCATAAAAAAGAATGAAGACTTGCCATTTGCAACAATATGGATGGGCCTTGAGGGCATTATGCTAAGGGAAATAAGTCAGAAGGATAAAGACAAACACTGTATGATCTCACTTAAACGTGGAGTCTAAAAAACCTAAAACAGGCCTAAAAAACCCAAGCTCATAGATACAGAGGAGAACAGGGGTGGGCAAATAGATGAAGAGGGTCAAAAGGTGCAAACTTTCAGATATAAAGTAAATACATCATGGGGATGTAATGTACAACATGGGGACTATAGTTAATAATACTCTATTGCATATTCCAAAGTTATTAAGAAAGTAGATCTCAAAAGTTGTCATCACAAGACAAAATTTTTTGTAACTATGTATGGTGACAGATGTTAACTAGACTTATTGTGGCGATCATTTTGCAATACGTACAAATAACAAATCATGTTATATGTCAATTATACTTCACTTGAAAAAAATTAGGAGGAACATACTTCTTATTCCTGACATCTGGTACGTTTCTCTGATTGCCCAAGTTTTTACTGGCAATAACATTAAATCCATATTTGAAAAATCCCCGAACAAATTCTCGTCTGTATAGTTAAAATCCTCATCTGCAAGGAAAGGTAGTTATATACGTATAGGTTTAGAACCATCACTTTGATAAAAGACAATGAAAACAATAATATCCTGAATTCACTCCTTCTATAATGAGTCAGAGTCATTTTCTTGGAATCTCAACTACCCCAGATGGCTCGGTTAAAGTCAAAATATTTGCACAAGTCACAGCAGATTCCTTATCAAAGTATGAACAATGAACTAGTCCTCAGCCACTCGGTCTCGCCAGGGAAGGACGTTCTCAGCTTCCTTGATCCCATCATGATTCACAACTATCACGTGAAATTATTGAAGCAGGGATTTAGCAAAGGTGGGAGCAGAGCTGAAAGCCGGCTCCTAAAATTCCACTGGAGAGAAGAGAACAAGACGACAGAGGACAACTCAAAATACTAATCAAGAAAATAAACAAAGTTGGGATTTCCTATTAAAAGATGAAAACTTTGAGATGGCAATAAATAAATGTAATCATAAGAGATAAACAGAATGAACTAAAATAGTAAAAAGTGAAATAGTGAAAAGTGTAAGAATGGTCAAAGAATACAGGAATCAAAGCATCATTTAAAAAGTACAGAATTCATTAGGAGCATCTAGAAAGTCATTGTATACTCACAATTAGTCACAATAAGGACTTAATAGTAACGAGCTGTTGACATCAAATAATGCTGCAGCAAAATACTTAAAGTGGTTAGAAATATCAGCATATAGTGCCACAAATAAACAGTAAAGGAATAGTTTAAGAACAAGCCTGAATCACAGAAAAAGTTAGAACTTGATTAATAAGTTAGTTACATTTCCTTAGTGAATGTTTACTGTGCTTTGTTTTTGAGAGAATAAACTTTCTTTTTCAATGCCCAAGGAGTGCTTTCCAAAACTGACATAAAAGGCTGTATTATACTGTCTTGCCAATGGGTTTCAGCCCCGGGCACGTTCACTATGGATTCAATGAGAACAAAGAATGACAATGGGACATTCTTGGGGTGAGAGGGTTTAGACCCAACTTGATTCCCACGGTGGCAGGTCAGTCACTAGAGTCCCGTCCACACAGAGCGAGTCTGTAGGCAGCAAGCTGGGCTCTGCCTCTGGGCTTCTCTGCCCCCGCAGCCGTCTCAGTCTCTACCCTCGGCGCTGCCACCACTCCAGCCTCGTCTCTGCTCTCCTGCAGCCTTGCAGCCCTGCCACCGTGTCGCCCAGAGCACTGGGCAGAGCTCTTCATATAGAGTCAATAACAAGGTATTACCCACACGTGTGTGGTGAGCTAGCCAACCAGGGCCAGGTGAGAATCCCGGCCACAGGGGCCTTCACTTTATCCATATATGCATAAAGGGTATTCCTGTCAAGGTGCCAGAGCCCCATTCCCTTTAGGTCCTCTTTCTTACCCCTAAGACAACCTGGACATCACACAACAGCTAAGCACAGGAGAGCTCGGAAAGGTGAGAATAAAGAGGCCAAGTGCTCAGGAGCCTCAGGACTTGAGCAAGGACAGTGAGCTGCTGAGGCCCTGCTGCCTCCCCTAAACCGCAGATGGGCAACCGTAGAAGTCTCCAAGAGGAACCAACCACAGGCACGGGCAAGAAAAGCTCCAGGATAAGCGCGCTTCCCCAGCCAGGGGGCCAGGGGAAGGAGGCCTAGCACCAGAAACCTGTAGGCTGCACGTACTGCAGCCAGTCAAGCCGACGGGAGAGCCGCCCCGGCCCTGGGGCTTCAGCAGGGCCGGCGGGGAGTAGATCTTCCAGGCACCTCAGAGACCCAGGGCACTGCTCCTCTTTCCCACCCGGTGTTGCTGGGAGTGCTGGGTAAACCCACCCATCCACCCCCTTCCTGGCAGAGGCAGGTGTGCTCTGACTACCTGAGTGGGCGGTATGGACAGCTGGGCAGGGAACGTAAGCCTGCCTGGTGGAAGCAGGTGGTGCTTGGATACTTCCCAGAGTACCAGTGTCATGTCAGTGGCACGCTGAACCTCCAACCCACCTGGCATCCATAAGGCTTAACAAGGTGGTGGGAGGTAGGGCTAGCCTCTTCCACATGCCCCCTGCCCCTTGTATCAGCAGGGCCTGGGGGAGAGCTAAACCTCCACCCCACCTGGGGACAATGAGAGAAACAGGTTATCTGAGGTGCCTGTGGACACTCTGCTTCCCTGTTTCCTATCCCCGGTGTCGGCAAGGCCCACCAGGGGGCTGAAAGTGGACACAATGCCATGCACGTTGGTGCCCCTTCTCACCAAAGGGGGAGCCAAGCCTCCACCCCCGACTGCAGGCTGGCAGGCTCAGCAGGAAGCCAAACACACCCACCTGCCTGGCCCTTGTGCTGCATCCCAGCAGGGGATACCCTGTGACAGTGAAGATTAAATGGGCAACCCAGAGTTTCATAATATCCAAAATGCCCAGAACACAAGCAAAACTCTTTTGTCATACCAAGAATCAGGCAAATATCAAATTGAATGAAAAAAGACAATCAACAAATGCCAAAAACCAGATGACTAAGAGGTCAGAATGATCTAACTGGGATGTTAAAGCAGCCATCACAAAAACGCTCAGAAAAATATGGAAAAGGGGAAAACCTTAGCAAAGAGATAGAAGTTATAAAGAAAAGGACCAAATGGAAATCACAGAACTAAAGAATACAATAGTCTAAATAAAAAACTTCCTGGACAGGCTGAGTTGTACTGTGGCAATGACAGATGAACAGAATCCACCCAGTCCAACAACAGAGAAAGACTGAGAAAAGATGAGGAGTGCCCCAGGGACCTGTGAACTAGCAGCCGGAGAGCTAATACTCACAGTATTAGCATTCCAGAAGGGCAGGAGAGAGAGTGGACTGAAAGTACACTTTTGTGAAATAATGGCTGAAAGCTCCCCAAATTTGGTGGAAAACGGACATCTACAGATTCAAGGCATGGAGCAAATCCCCAGTAGGATAAGCCAGCGAAATATATGTCAAGACACAGCATAGTTAAGCTTCTGAAAATTGAAGATAAAGGAAAACTCTTCAAGGCAGCCAGAGAAAAATGACACAGTTCTCACAGAGGAACGACTTGGATGACCGTGGACTTCTTACCTGAAATCACGGAGGAGAGAAGTAGGTGGCAAAACATTTTAGAGGGCTGAAGAAAAAGAACTACCCACTGCAAACTCTATATCCAGCAAAAATATCCTTTGGGTATCATGAGAAAATAGAGTTACTCTAAGAGGAAGAAAAACTAAGATTTTGTACAAAAGAAAGTTCTCTAAACAAATAGGAAATGATAACAGAAGAAGGCTTAGAACTTTGGAAAAGAGAAAAGAACATCAAAATGGGTAAAAATAGGGGTAAATGTAACAGACTGTCCTTGTGAGTTCCTTAAATCATGTTTGGTGTTGCTGCAAATTGTAACACCATCTGATGTGGAGCTCAATGTATGTAGAGGAGATACTGAAGATGATATTTTTTAATCGAGGAAGCTAAGGGACTTCCAAGGAGACTGTGATGTCACGTATGTGTTGTGTAATGCCTACAGCAAACCACTAACAAAACTACACAAAAGAATCTACTAAAAATCACTCCAAGTAAATCCAGATGGAATACTGAAAAATGTTCAAGAAACTCACAGGAAAGTAAGACAAGAGAAACAGAGAATGAGGAACAGAGAAAACAAACAAAAACCAAATGGCTGACTAACTCTAAAATATCAGTAATTGTATTAAATGCAAAGATCTAAACATACCAATTAATGACATAGATTGGCAGAGTGGGTTAAAAAAATGTTCCAGCAATATGCTGTCTACAGGAAACTTACTTTAATGTGACACAGGTAGATCAAAAACAAAAGGGTAGAGAAAGATACATTTTGCAAATGTTAATTAAAAAAGCAGGAGTGGCTATATTAATATCAGATAAATAGATTGAGAAAAGAAAATTACTAGACACAAAGAAAGACACTGCATAATGGTAAAAGGATCAGTTCCCCTGCAAGACATAATGATTCTAAATAGAAACACACAAAAAACACTCACAAAACACATGAAACAAAAACTGATTGAAAGGAGACAAATACATGATTATAGTTGGGGTCTTCAACACCCCCTCTTAGCAACTGACAGAGCTACTTGCTAGAAACTCAGCAAGGATAGAGAAGAACTGAAGATAGTCAACCAACAGTATCTAACTGATACATATGTAAAGAACAGTCCACCTAATAACTGCAGAATACACATTTTTTCAAGTGTGAGTGGAGCATAGACAGACCACATCCTGATCATAAATAAACCTCAAAAGCCCTAAAAGAATTGAAATGATACAGTGCATATTTTCCGACTACAATAGAATGAAACTGGATGTCAGTAATAGACAAGAGAAAACTATTTAAACACTTGGAAATTAAATAACCTGTTTCCAAATAATCCAAAGAGAAAAATCTCAAAGGGAATATAAAAATATAGAGAAGTAAGTGAAAATGAAAATTCATCATATCAAAATATGTAGGATGCAACTAAAGTAATATTATTATGATGTCAGTTCTCCCCAAATTGATCTATAGGAATCAAAATTCCATTGAAAATACTAGCAGACTTTTTGGTAGAAATTGACAAGCTCTTTCTAAAAATTATACACAAGCAAAAACCTAGAATAACTAAAACAATTTTTAAAATGAAGAATAGAGCTCAGAAATAGATCCACTAAACATGGTCAACTGATTTTTGACAAAGATGACCATAGATGGGGAAGAGAATATTTTCCAACAAATGATGCCAGATCAACCGGAGATCCATATGGTAAAAGTGAACATTGATCCTTACTTCACATAAACTTAAAACCTTAACATTTCTAAAGGAAAGCATAGGAAGAAATCTTTTTGAAGTTGGGGTAGGCAAAGGTTTCTTAGATACAACATAAAAAATATGACCCATACAAGAAAAATGTGATGAATTGAACATCAAAATTTAGGATTTTTATTCTTGTGTGATACCATTCAAAAGGGAATGAAAAATGAACAGTACAGTTAATAATACTGTATATTTGAAAGTTGGTAACAGAGATTTTTTTTATTTTTTATTTTTTTTTATTATTGAAGGGTAGTTGACACATAGTATTACATTAGTTTCAGGTGTACAACACAGTGATTTAACATTTATATACATGATAATTCTAGGTACCAGCTATCACCATACCAAGTTGTGGTAACAGAGATCTTAAAAGTTCTCATCACAAGAAGAAAACTATAACTATATGTGGTGATGGATGTTAATTAAACTTATTGTGGTAATCATTTTGCAGTATATACATATATCAAATCATTATGTTATACACCTAAAATCAATAAAATGTTATATGTCAATTATATCTCAATACAAAGAAAATGAAAAGACAAGGTACAGACTTGTCTAAATATTTGCAACTCACATATCAAAGGACTTGACTCCAGAGTATATTTTTAAAAGTCTTTAAAATCAGAAGACAAACATCCCCAATTTAAAAATGGGCAAAAGACTTGAATAGACACTTTACAAAAGAAGATGTGTATCTGGGTGGCCATTAAGCACACGAAAAGGTGCTCAAAATTATTGGTCATCAGGGAAATGCGAACTAAGGTGGCAGTGATACCTTTATTCACCTCTTAGAGTGGCTGCAATCTAAGAATCTGACCATGTCAAGTGCCGGTGAAAATCTGAAGAAAATGGAATTCTCATGTACTTATGGAGGGAATGTTAAATGGCACATTTACTTTGAAAAATATCTTGTCATATTCTTTGAAGTTAGCAGAGACATATATTTACCTAAGAGAAATGAAGCAAAGCCGTATGAAGACTTATACATCAATATTCATAGCAGCACTGCAATTCATTGCAGAATGTCTAGAGACACATTGAACATTCATTGTATTTTGCTTAGAGAAAACACACAGAGAAGTGAGAAAGATATCCATCAATTCAGGTTAACTACTACCTCTGAGGGTGGCAGGAGAAGGAATGGGGTAAGGATTTTACTGTACCTATTAACATGTATTCCTGTGAAAGACAGAAAGCCCTCTGAGACAAATGTAGTAAACTATATAAACGTTGTTAAATTTAGGTGGTAAATACATACGTACCTGTTTTATTATTTTCTGTATATGTATGTGAAATATTTCATAATTTAAAAAAGGAGTTGCTTTAAAAAGGACAGTCTTTTACTGTTCCAAATATTAAATCAATGGTATATTTTCCTCTTAACGTGGCTAACAGAGAAAATAAAAATACTCACTTAATTTTAAAAAATGGCCTCTTTTCTATAGTTTCTTCTTTGTCGGCTTTTTAATTTTTCCAGGCAGTCTTGGTACTCGCTGTGAACCACGGTTAATATGCTGCTGTAATTTTTTTTCAAGGGACCAAATTAACATAGGCTCCTGGGTTTTCTTCTGCCAGCTGGTCACACGATTATGTTGAAAATACATAGATGACAGAACTGTGCAGACCCCAAATGTCAAGGATCCATAGATTAAACACTGAATTAGGACATTTCTCACTGTAAACCTAGAGTTTCTGAAGATCCACTTTTCAATTTCCCAAGTCAGATGTATTTAAGAGAAGCTATATTATTTCAATGGTTTGTAGATCACCGGCTTGATTTATATTCGATTTTCAATGTTTAAAAAATCATTTTGATATCAGTGCTTATCAGAAACACTTTGATAAAATAAAGTGGATTTTTTTCCTATTAGCCAAATCTCTTAAAACTGTATTCATGATTAGTTAACATTAAGATGTATGAAGGCATGCTTTTAAAACATACCATATCATTTAAAGCCCACACTCCTGAGTGTACAGCCAAAGGAAATTAATGTGAAAGGTTTACTCCCCCCTTTTACAGGCTAATCCATCTTGAAGTGATAATGTAGGTCTGTATTTTAAAGATCTGACTTGACACCCATCAGACTGTTAAAAATATAAAAGCAGACAATATNGTGCAACCATTTTGGCACTATCTAGGTAAGTGGAATTTATGCATATGATATACTGAAGCAGTTCCATCCCTGGGAACATACTCTGAAGAGACTCTCATAGGCATCATGAGACACGCACAAGAACATTTACTGAAGTAATGTTTGTAACAGAAACTTTAATTTCCCTCAGCAGGATGACTGGTAACATGTGGCTATCCATCCAACACTGGAAATGGATCAACTGGAGCTGCCTTAACATTGTAAACTAAAAACAATGTTGCACAAAAGTAAGGTATGACTTCACTTATATGTATTTGGGAAACTTGAAGAGCAGTGCGATTATTTGGATACAACTGTACATAGCAAATACTGGAAAAGAACTCCATGCACGTGAATGGTCTGCACAAATTTAGGAGGGGGGACACCTGAGGAGAGGAAAGATCTGCTACTCTGTTCTTAATGCTTATTTCTTTGAAGGCTCTGAAGCAAATGAGCAAACTGATGGGGTTTGATAAAGCTTGATGAGGTGCACACACCGTCCATGTTTTTTCTCTGTATTTCCCTTATGTTTAACATATTTCATCATTTATCAAAAACAAAGAAAAAAGTCGTGAGAGTTTAAAGATCATAGATTGCATACACGTGTCTGTCTACTCTTCCTCTGGACTTAATCGTGAATAACAATAAAACTAAAAAGTCTGGGAAAGAATGACAGAGGAAACATCAGTGTGCTTGGAATTTAAACCCAGGCTGGGCAGGAGGCTCCCTCGGACCTGCGGTAACGGTCTGGAAGGGCAGAGAAGTCACAGGTGCAGGCGTGCTGTGAGGACTCCGAGGTGGACATGGGTCTAGTGGGCCTCAGGGCTGGGAGGCACGGCAGGTGATGCGCGCAGAAGTGTCCTGGAGAGCTGGACCTCCAACGGCTGGTTGTGGGGCAGGCTGGTTGTGGGAAATGGACTCTAAAATGGGATTGGGGGGCTGGATGGCCTTGAGGACCCCGTTGCTGGTGGAGAGGTGGCATGCCAGGCAGCGTCCCGCTGAGGCCTCCCTGGTGCTGAATCGGGAGGGAGGGGCATTCTGCAGGGCGCAGCTGAGAGCTGGGGCAGGGAATAGAATGGTAAGCGCCATGGGGTCTTTCTGTTGAGGCTATGGAGGCATTTGCGAGCTACGAGGAAAGGCTGGGGGTGATTAGCCCCACTAAGGCAAAGTATCAGCGGCAGCGGGCCTCCTTGACAGCATATGCAGACGCTCATCTCCTACAAGCCGAGAATCATGCTCCAGGCTCGAAGACAGGGCCGCTGAGCTCCACAGAGGGGGGCTTCTCAACACAGGCTGGTCTCCTATCCCGGGGAGGAGGGGCTCTGAGACTTCAGATGAGGTGTGGGTGGAGACACACCTGAAACCCCAGGTCCCCTGGGCCTACAGAAATGGGCCTCCTCCTCTGCTGGAGGGTGTTGGAGGCCTCTGCTTCCCAAGGCAACACATGCCCTCCCTCACCATCACCCCACAGGTCCCCTCCTGGCCCAGGTCAGTAGCTAGGGTCAAGTTACAATACTGCCAGGCCAACCCAGGGGGAAAGAGAGTACCCCAGGAACTGCAGAATCAGGCACGCAGCCCAGGTGTCAGGGCCTGTGGTGGCGTGTGCTGAGGATCCTGGACCCAGGGAGGGGTGAAATGTTGGATGGGATGCTTGTTATAGGAGCATTCTCCCAAGACACAGGATTTCACACCCCAACAAGCACAATCAAGGCCCACTGACTGAACGAGTAACACTTCAAAAATGAAATATTCGGTTATGAAAGACAAGCTATCAAATGTATAAGAGAAGAAACTGACTTCTAACTATGGGAAATGGGCAGATTAAAACATCCGAGGAGAGAATGAAGCTGTTCAACTTATTACCACCACATCTTCCTGTGAAATGTCTGCATTTTGAGAGAGACTGTTTTAACTTTCTCTAAAAACCAAAGCCAATTAGAAACTGGTTAAAGGAGAAAATAGGTGAGGGGAGGCAACCAAATTTAACAGACAAAATAAACATGTGAATTCACATGACAGGATTATTACTGAAAAATGAAATAACCCATATTCCCCAGAGGATTCTATGATATTAAGAAAATGTGGGAGAAATTCCCTTTAGATGTGGACACTTACGAAAATACTGTGGCCTTACACCCCATCGTAGTGTACGTTTTCTTGTCTTACAGGTGCTTGAAGCAGAGCTCCCCTGGTCCTCTGGAATACGCGCCTCGCCCTCCGCCGAGCCCGCACTCCCACGGGCCCCACCAAGAGAGGAGAACCAGGTCTGCGGCTGGCTTCCAGCTCTGTATCCTCAGAGGGAAACCACGTCCAGCACCTGGCAGCTGAAAGAATCCAGTGAAGAAAACAGAGTTGCGAATGCGAACACACAGGCACACGCTGGGAAACCAAGGCCGTGACCTGAATCTGGGTTTACACTACCTGAGTTAGTCTTAAGACGTGAGTTTTTATAGAGTCAAGAAAACATGACCACGATTTAGATAATGTCACAACTAATTTTTCTGTAAACAATAGGTTTGTAACCTCTCGCTTTCCTAGGACATCTTAGTACCAATCTCCATACAAGCTTTCTGATACCACAGAGGGTCTTGTTTCTATTTAGCTTTTTTGAATATGTAATACATTCACTTGGTGTAAATCTCAGCACAAATGGGTAGATAATGAAGTTGGCCCTAATTCTCAAGAACTGAAGTCATTGAATCTTCGAGCTGATGCCCCGCTTGCCCCTAGGGTGGTGTAACCCGGCCTGGTAGCCAAAAACCTTTCAAAAACATCAGACCCTCTCAATTCTAATCCCCACAGCTAGCCTGCCTTTCAAGATTCAGTGATTTGTTGTGCTGCTTACACCGATTCTAGGTGGAAGGAGCCCCCCAAGCCCCCTTTGCTCCTGCTTCTCAGCCCACTGAACTCACCCACCAACCAGAGACAATGTTCGGCTGCTGTACAGCTGATGGGTGTCCCAGGCTGAGTGAAGCTGAGAAGTTAGGCAGGAGTCTGTACTGAATGGCCTCCAAGACGGACTTGTTTTCTGAATGGCCGGCTTTACGGAGCCTGGATTCTGAGCAAACTGATCGTGCCAGGCTGCCCCACCGCATGGTCGGGCTCAAAATACAGCTTCGGGCTCAAAACAAGCCCTGTGACATCACACAAGCCCCCCAGTCCCCACAGGCCCCAGCCCGGAAGCTCCAATCAGCAGGCGGAGTCCAGGCCTTCCGAAGGTCAAAGGGTCCTTCGAGCAAGTCTTAGAATCCTCACTCCTCAGCTGAGGAAATAGGAAAAGCCTCGGATTGGCCTTCTCTGGGCTAGGCCTCATTTTTAGCTCTTTAGAAACAAACTTAAGAAAAAGAAGCAGTTTTCAGAACACTTTGAGAGACTTAAAGATGAGTCAAAGGGTGAAGTGACTGCCTTTTAATTTTTATTCTTTATTATTCAACATTTAGATATTAGTACATGAGTTCATCCACATGCTTATGAAAGCTCTTTCCTCACACGTCTGGGCAGGTTCAGACCCCTGTCTGCCCCTCTCCCACCGCCCCTGCCCTTGTCGCAGGCTGCCTCAGTGTTCCACCTGGGACTGGGCATCTGCTTCACACTTTGAAGTATAAAGAGGCAGGGGCTGCGAGGGGCCTTCTGACGCTTCTCCTGGGGAGACACGCTGGGCGATAATGACCTCCAAGCGTGACATCGAACCTCCTTTGGACAGATTGGATGAAGGCTCCTTTGTCCTTTTGTAATCATGTTAATATTAAAAAGTAAGCTTTCATTCATAACAGCCCCCAATGGAAACAATCCAAATGCCACCACTATAGGATGGATAAACTGTGGTTATTCATATGATGGAAGAGAAAACAGCAAGAAATGACTGAGCTACAGCTATGCACAAACATGGATGAATCTCACAAACAGGATATTGAGTGGTAGAAGCCACACACAGGAGTTTATTATGATGCTATTTCTATGCAGTTCAGGAAGGGGAAAGCTGATCTAGAGGGACAGTTCAGGGCGCGACCGCCTTCGGGTGGGGGCCGGAGGCCAGGAGCTTGATCTTCTCCATCTACTGGATCCGGGAGAAGGCTTCACAGATGGGGCTGTTCACTGAAAGGCTGTGTACCCCATCATACGGATGTGCTATCCCCCAAAAATTATGGAGGAAAGAGTGAACTGGCACAATTTTTGGACAGACTTGTCATGGGAATTTTGCAAAACAGTCTGTGTTTGGTTCATTGCGATAAAATCAAATCTTTCTTTCTGAGAAGGGTGCACCTAGACCGTATTCAAGGATAATAGTTAGAATTTTATTTTATTTTTTATTAAGATATAATTCACATACCTAAAATTCACCCTGTTAAGTATATAGTTCAGTGTTTTTCAATGTATTCCTGGCAACCATCGCCATTATCTGCTCCCATGGGCTCCTGAGAAATGCCGTGACACCTGGCAGTCACCCCCATTTCTCCTTCTCCCCTCCTCCATCAGCTACGAATCTATTTTCTGTCTCTATGGATTTGCCTATTCCAGACATTTCATATAAATGGAATCATACAATATGTGCTTTTGTGCCTGGCCTCTTTCACTTAGCATAATGTCTTCAAGGTTCCCCCGTATTGTAACATGCATCAGTACTTCGTTTTTTTGATGCCTGAATAACAGTCCATTGTATGAAAAACCACATTTCATTTATCCATGCATCAGCTGATAGACACTTCCATTGTTACCACTTAGAGAATCAGAGATCTAAATGTCAAGGGATAAAATTATGAAACTCTTAGAATTAAACAGGGGGAAGCTTCATGACATTGATGTGGCAATGATTTCTTGGAAAGAAGGCCAAAGTACAGGCGACAAAAGAAAAGATAGATAAATTGGACTACATTAACACTTCAAACTTGCATGCATCAAAGGACACAACCAATGGAGTGAGAATGCAGCCCACAGAATGGGAGAAATATGTGAACACCTATAAACTATGTGTCAGGATTGTCCATAGGAGCGGAAGTGGGGAGAGTTCATCACGAGCTGTGTGTTCTGTTGAGTGAAAGTTTGTTGGCTCCGGCATGCTCGGTACTCCCAGCACCAAGGGGAGTCCCTGGGCAGGGGCAGGGGGTTGAGAGGTGCTAGGAGTAAGTTCTGCTGGACCCCATCACAGAATCGGTTACCCCCACGGCAGAGAGGCCAAGGATGGAATGAGGCAGAAGAGGAATCCCATACAGAAGGCTGTTTGGAACCGTGACATCCACGCCAAGAGTAGGTGGAAGCGAGCCAGCCAATCTTCACCTTTTTTTTCCTCAGACCTCCCCCGCTCTCCCTTCTCAGCTGGTGACAGTTGAGTACATAGAAGCACTCAAATGAGAACTACCTCTTTTCATGCAGCATTATTCACAATAGGTAAAATGTGGAAGTAACCCAGTGTCCATCCATGGATGCACTCATGGATAAGCAAAATGTGGTCTGTTCATGCAATGGACCATTATTCAGCCTTAATAGGGAAGGGCATTCAGACACACATGACAACATGGGTGAATCTTAAGGACATCATGACAAGTGAAATAAGCCCATCACAAAAGACAAATACTGTCTAATTCCGCTCATATGAGGTCTTAAAGTGGTCAACATCGTAGAGCGTGACGGTAGAGTGGTGGTGTGGGTGGGGAGCTAGTGCTCAGCTTTCTTTACAAGACGACAGGTTATGACATGGGCGGTGGTGCTGGCTGTCAACATCATGAACGTATGTTATACTCTGAACTGTACACCTAAAACTAGCTAAGGTGAAAGATTTTGTTATGCGTATTTTACCACAAAAAAATT